ATAGTCCTAAATCTAAGAGCTAAAACTGTAAAACTTGTAGAAGAAGACAGAAAATTTTGGTGACCTAGGCTTATAAAGGATTTCATAAATAAAATATAAAAAGCAGGAAATATAAAAAGCTTATAACTAGAGCCAAATAAAAAATTTGAGCTCTTTAAAAGGTATTAAGAAAAAGAAACAGCAGGCTACAGATAAGAAAAATTTTGGAAGATGTGTATCTGATAAATGACTTGTATATATAATATATTAAAAATAACTCCAGTAATTCAGTAATAAGAACACAACCAACTCAGTTTTAGAAATGGGTAAAAGATTTGAAGGCTTTACCAGAGAAAACACAAATGACAAAAAAGTACATGAAAAGATGAACAACATGATTAGTTCCTAAGGAAAAGGAAATTTAAAAACTAAATTACCCCTTCATGCCTACTAGAATGGCTAAAATTTCAAAATTCAACACCTGACCGTATTACGTGTTGGCGAAGAGGTTGCTGTAGAAAAGAAAAATGACCCAACTCTTTTGGAGAACAATTTAGTGATGTCTGATAAAGTGAAACATACCATATGACCTACTCCTAGCAATTTTTACTTAATTCCACTACTAGGTATTGACTCAAGAGATGTAATTATAGTCCATAGAAAGACATATATGTAAATATTTATACCTGCTTTATTCATAACAGAAAAATGTTGGAAACAACCCTAATATCCATCACCCGATGAATGGATGAAAAAATTGTGGCATATCCACAAATTGAGTGCTAATCAGTAATGAAAGGATTGAACTCCTGGTGTATGTAACAGCTCAGATGAATCTCAACAGTATTATGCTTGGTGACAGTGGTTGCTGGAGGTGGAGGGAGGGGCATTGATTTACCAGGGTATTTTATGGGTGATGGAAATGACTTTTATCTTGATTGTGGTCATTACATGACTATATACGTTTGTCAAAAATGGAACTAGGTGTTCAAAAAGGGTGAGTATACTCCACAAACTTGACTTCAAAACACACATAGGAGAGAAGATTCTCAACCTCATTTAAAAAAAAAAAAAAAAAAAAGGCAAATTAAAAACATGGCTTTTTTTCCCGCCTCTCAGATTGGCTAACATCAGAGTTTTGGATGTTGTGTCAAGGATTTGGGGAAGGAGTCAGTCTCAAATCTTGTGGGACAACCTCTGAGGGATAGTTGAGGAATATCTTTTAAAATTAAACATAAATGTACTTGTTGAACTGGAAATTTCACTTTTAAGAATTTTTCTAAAGGTAAGACAGGTACAAGGAAACAGTAGTTGATATCATTGTTTATCAGAGCAAAACTGAGGGAATAACCTGATTTCCATTATTGAGGACATTAACTGTGGTGCAGGAAAGGGCTGTGAGGTAGGTAAATATATGTCCTGATAAGGAACAGTTTCTTAAGATACTGTTAAAATAGTGTACAGAATGGCATGTATTGTGTACTTCTGTTTTTATAAAGAAACAGAGAAATGACCCATGTAGGTATGTATATGTGTGTATGTGTGTGCATATGCTGTTAGAGATAGCATATACATATACAGAACTAGTCATTGTAGTTGCTGCTAGCCCAGGAAAGTTTATCTTTTAATGTCCATCTACTTTTTTTGCTTGAATATATTTTTTACCATGTGCACATATTATTTTCTCAGTTAAAGAAAAAATTAATTTGTATTCAATTATAAAGTATGGTTTAAAAATTGAGGACTATGTAGGTGGCTGTCCTATTCACTTCCCCCAAAATGTTAGTGTTTTCATCAGCCTCACAATAGTGCACCCAGTGGATCTTGGGGCTGATCAGAGTGACATTCCTGAGACCGTTTCTGCTCGTAACCACTGCCCAGTGCTTCCAGTCTGTCTCCTGTTTTTCTAAATCCACGTGGTAGTAGGTTTAGGAAGAAATACTCCTGTTTCACTTTCCCCAGAGGCTGCTTTTCTATAGGTTGGTCTGCTCCTCTAGCTTATGTCCATTAATTATGCTCTGCAGTGGTCGGGTTGCATGGTGGGGAGACATACTGAGTTCAGAAGAAAAGTATAATTAGGTAGGTCCTTGTCCCATGTTTGGATGCCACCGGGAAGGTCCGCTGAGCGAGGGGGAGCATCTGTAAGGGAGGTGTGGAAATTGGCAGCACTTCCTGAAAATGCAGTGGTTTGGGAGGCTATCTTCAATTTAGTTTGGACATTAAATTAAAATGGACGTGCTCAAGTTATGAGCCTTGCCTCATCGGCACTATAAAAAGCCCGTTAGCCAGGCTGTAATTCGATTCTCCTGTGTGTAATGTTACACAATATTCCTATGGTTACAGAGCCCGAAGAAGTGAAAGCTAATCATGAGTTTGCTAAACGTGGTCCCATGGAACACTTCTGAACTCCCAGACCTGCCAACTGCTGCTTGCTGAGTGTCATGCTTTCTCCTTGGGTAGAAGTTGGTTTGTTCCTCCAAAAAATGTACAGTAACAGTTGTCTGGCATCCAGGAGCTGTGCACGATGGCAGCCCTCCATGTGGCTCAGGGATGGGGACGGGGAAGAAGGTCATACTAAGCAAAGTTTCTCGGTACATACTCTTCCACAGGAAGAAGCCATTAAGGGAGTGAGGGATGGCAAAGCAAGAGAAGAATTACAGCGGCAGAGGCTTTGCATACTTGGGTTCACTTCTCAGAAATTGGCTGTGATAGAGCTCCAGAGTTTACCATTCTGTGACCCTAGACATAAAAGTCACACTCTTTAGGTTGTTCAGTGTTTGTTTCATGTGGCCAGACAGACTTCATTAGCACCCAGGGTCACCTGCAAAGGTGCATAGCCGTGCTGCCTTTAAGGGCCAAACATTTTATAAGCTGGGGCCTCTTCTCTCTCATCTAATATGTATCAGGGGAACATAATGATAGCAGTCGATACTGTCTGGATTTGTGCCCTTACCTGGAGATTAGAGCCTAAATCCTTAAGCCACTCATGATTATTTGGCCTTTTCCTACTAGAATGAAAGTAGGTTCTTGTCCAGTCAATGGAAAAATATATCATGCCCACCTGTGACTCATTCCTCCTTTCCAGCTGAACAGCTGTTGATTCTGCAGGAGGAGCCTCTTTGTTCTTTGAGACTGTCCAGAATAGTCCAGTGGTTACCTCTGTTCACCTGCTGTATCATGTAGATCTCTTGGGATTGTAAAAAAAAAACAAAAACAAAAACAAAAACAAAAACGAAAGCCTGACCTCCCCTGGCTTAAGGAGAAAGGGAATTTATTGCCTCATATGACTAAAACAGTATGGTGTTATCTATAGGCTCAACCTGTATCATCCAGATCAGCTGTCTCTGCTTCTCTCTCGTCTCGCTTCCTCTTTCAGACTTCAGTCTGAGGATCTAGCTTGTGGCACCTAGCACAGTTGGATAATCTTGCAGGTACAAGCCCAACAGGAAATAGCAGACAGCCTTTCCCCTGTGTCCCAGAAAAGTCCTGAAATTCACTCTAATGCAACTGGCTTAGGTCTTAGGCTGTCCCTGAACCAGCCATGGTGCCAGAGACTTGCTGTGATTTGATTGGTGGGTCTGAATCTCATTCTGGATCTCCCTGGCAGCTGGAGCTGTCCCCCAGTCCCCCAGGCACATGCAGTAGGGACCAGAGAAGAGTAGCAGCCTGATCAAACATGAGATGAAAGGAAATTGGAGTGAGTACTGGGAGGCAAATCACTAACTAGTTTTGAATATGAAGAAGCTGGATTCTGTCTTCAGTTTGCTGAAAGACCTCACGTCCGACCGCCTTGGCAGTGGTGAGGTGCGGTGAGGTGAGGTGTTGGTTTGTGAAACTGTTCATACTCCCCAGCCTCTGCTTCTTACTTTCATTTGCCTATGTGCTGCCCAAGAAGACTAACGGTAAGAGTGATCCCTCCCTTGATAATACATGCTGCTTTAAAATACACACATTATTTACTAGTCTACCCAAGAGAACACAAAAGAAGAAATAATAAGGATCCAGTGTAATTATGGTGGTCCCCATGTACTTCCTGGCTTCCGGCAGTTAAAAAGTACCTAAAAAAGTAATGCATGGGGCCCCTGGGTGACTCAGTTGGTAGAGCGTTCGACTTCAGCTCAGATCATGATCTTACAGTTTGTGAGTTCAAGCCCTGCATTCGGCTCTATGCTGACAGCTTGGAGCCTAGAGCCTGCTTCAGATTCTCTGTTTCCTTCTCTCTCTGCCACTCCCCTCCTCACAGTCTGTCTCTCTCTCTCTCTCTCTCTGTCTCTAAAAAATAAATAAACATTAAAAAGTATTTTTTAAAAGGTAATGGAATAAAGTCATAGTTGAGAAAATATAAAAATGATAGTTCTACCACTTCAACCCAACCACCATTTTAACTTCCGAGTATTTCCTTTCAGCCTTTGTTCATATAAGTTTCTCACAAACTTTTAGATCTTAGGATTTTTTTTGTTTGTTGGTTTGATGTTGTATGATAACCAGGCATTTTCCATATTGCTACATGGTTAGCATTATCATGTAAATGCAACATAATACTCCATCAGGGAGACATGCCAAAATTAATCATTCTTCCATCATTGAACATTTAGGTTATCTCCTTTTAAATTTTCTTCTGTTGTTGAAAAGCTTTAGTATGTATTGAACATTTCTGGGGTATGTAACTTTTATCTTGCTTTATCTTATTTCCTGAGGCCAGATTGTGAGAGGTGGGATTACAGCTTCAAAGGGTATAAACATTTTTATGACTCGATACGTATTGCCAAGTTACTTTTCAAAACTTGCATTTTATCTCTTCTGCCTCCAGCAATTTATGAGAAGATCGTTTCACTGCCATTTTGCTGTCAATAGATATTTTGGATTTTTAACTATATTCTTAACCTGCCAAAAACTAGGTGTCATTTTTGTTTTAATTTGGATTTCTTTGGTTAATAGGGAGGCTGAATGTTTTTAATATTATGCTTGTTTATAGCTGTATTTTCTGCTCTTCTTTACCCATTGTCTTTTCTTCTTTTTAGATCCCAAAACTGCTTCTGAAACAGAGACCGATATCTGTGCAGAATGGGAGATAAAGACGATCACTAGTGCTTTGAAGACCTACCTAAGGTAGGGGCTTTCCATTTTCAGGGCAAGGTGCCAGCTGGTTATCATGCGATCAGGAATAAAACAGTTTTATTTTCAGCCTCCAGAGAGCTGTGGGGTGGGTATTTGAGATGTGGAAACAGCTCATGTGTGGGTGCAATTAGCTCAGCTGGTCACTCCAATTCTAAGTCCTCCATACTTGACGGGGTGCCACTGTGTGGTGCTGCTATTGAGTGATTCAGGAAGCTTTGCTTTTTATGAGAAGCTACTATGATAATCAGCCTCTAACAGAGCCTAAAATACACTCTTTCCTGAAGTCCCCAAATCCTCTATTAAGAAAAGAAGGAACTGTTCTGGTTCTGTTGACATGGTGATCCCATGCCCTGTGTATTTTGTTGGGTTTGTATCTCACAAAGATTGGCTATGTTGCTGACATTGGTCATTAAATATGAGGACTTAAGGGAAGTCCTTTTTGACTCATTCTCTTATGTTGGAAAACATTATTGAAGAGACTCTTTTCCTTATAGCAATATATGTCATATTATAACTCCTATTTCCCTGCCCCCTCCCTTGGTTATTAAGAGAAGGAGTGATTCTCGCTGCCTCCATGTCAGGTTCATAAAGTGAGCAAAACTTACACTGGACTTGAAGGCTAGCTGACGGTCTAGTCTTCAACAAAGAGGAGAATGACACTCATGAATTACAAAAGCATCTGTTGACATTCTGTGAAGATTCCGTTGGCTCAAAAACCAAGGCAGAAAGCTCCAGGAAAGGAATTAGTAATGGAGGTGTTATTGGCTATTGGGGAGTTGATGGAAGGATCTTGAAGTCATGAGTAAGATGTAATGCTAGGATGATCAAGAGCCAAGTGAGGGGATCGATGACAATCAAATAAAATCTGAGCCAAGAATAATTTATAGTCTGTTGAGAAGCTTGTTCTTTGGACTGTCAGAAAAAAAGCTGAAGTTTGCAGTTTAACATACTCATTAGACATAGTCGCTAAACATTCATACCACAAATATTACCATTGTAGTTTACAGAAAACCATATTGCAGAGGTTTGTATTTAGCACTTGTGCATGTTGATACTGATTCACTAATAAACGTTAAGTATAAAACATTTTAAAAAAAATAGGTAAAATTCGATTCTATCTTGCCTGATGTCAGGGGCTCTCACCCTTTGGCAGTCCGGAGAAACGCTCGGTAGCGAATTGGTCACAAAAACACAGTAGTTTCTCACAATCTTTCCAGGTGAACTGGTTGTAATAACAAGTTGCTGGGAAGACAAGAGTTGAAGCACAGGTAGTTGCAAATGTTTAGTTAGTTGCCTTTTTCTCAGACACATCTTAAAAAGCTCTTGTCAATGGGTGAGTCACTGACTGAAAAGGAAATCTCTTGGTTTGTGCTAGACTTTCACATTAGCACTTTCCTAGTTGTCACTAGGAAACATAGTTGCATCCATTCCCTTTAAAAGAAAGAGAATAAACATGTCGCATGAAATCTCAGGACCGTTTCAAAACAGAAACTCAGTTGGACTGAGTTGAGTTGCTATCGTGTCCCTTGATCTTTGTCTCTATTCAGTGGGGTGGCGTCTAAGCCACGATTTGTAGAGTATGATAGTTTTTATGAAGCTGACTGGTGTGTACCCTTTTATCCCAGAATGCTTCCAGGACCACTCATGATGTACCAGTTTCAAAGAAGTTTCATCAAAGCGGCAAGTAGGTCTTCTTTTTGTCACAGTTTTAAGGGGGAAAGGAATAGATTTTTCTATCTCAAAGAACAGTCAGTCTCCCAAAATAAATACTTTCCACCCTTTGTATTTTGCATGTAAACTACCAACGTATGTGCTTATGAGGTGGACGTAAACTAGAGGAACTAAACTGGGATCATCAAGGGCCTTGCTACCATGTTGAATTTACAGTTGAGAGAAACTTCAGAAGTGTGTTTTGGGGTTGAGGGGAAGACAGAAAAGCAAGTCTGGCTTTCTAATTTTGATTATTGGAGTTCTAACTCCCTGGGTTGTTTCCCAGCCCTCGAGTAGCATTTTGCAGAATGAATCAGACTTTGCACATTACCTAAATTGAGCATTGGAAGTGTTGCCTTGAATATGACACCATTTATATAACTTCCCAGTCCTCTTTCCATCATGGCTTCCATTTACAGCTTATGATCATTCTTCAGCTATATCGTCCAGGTCCCTTGCATCATATTACTGGTATTAAAATACATCGGGATTAGGTGCAAGCTACCCTGAGTGTGCTGGAATCTGTCTACGTGGGGCAGGCCCCCTACAGGAGGGGCAGTAAGGTTCTCTATCAGATATAAATCTGGCACACGCCTCCACAGTGTTACTATGTCAATAGTCTCTGTGCCTCTCTCTCTGCTTCCTTTTAGCCTTCAGGGTCTATTTACCCTGGTAGCAACTACTGGCCTAATTTAGGAATACCTAATGCTCTGATGGCCTTATCTTCTCAAGTTGTCTCCTTAAAAGAGGGAGGGGATGGACTTGAGAGAAAGCTGGGAGTGAAGATCGTGTTTATGTGATTTCTTTCTCTGAGAAATTCCAAACCCGTCACAGCCATTCTCTAATTAAATCTCAAATCAGTCCTATAAATAGGTGCGGTGAGCACTATCAGTCCATCTCCCAGAGAAATGAAGCCACTTACCCAAATTCAGCCAAGCCATGGCAGGCCACGATTGAGACGACAGACTGGCAGAAAGATTTACATATTTTACCAGACATTTCTTCTAGCAGGCTGGTCAGCTGTCCCGCATGACCTGAGCATAACCTGACACTACCTTTGATTTGTTGGATGCTGTCTTGAGCCGTTGTTTTGATATTTGAGACCCTTGTGATGCTGTTCATGTGCAATTTGTTTATCATTTGACAAGTGCATAAAGTTCTTCCCTTTCTTGAAATGAAGCCCTCATTCTAGGAAGCCAGCTGCTCCCAAGTTTCTGCCTGCTCTGAGTGTGCAGTTGACTGGCCCCATTTCATCCTGTGATCATTCTGGCTTGAAGTCTTTGACAGTCACTTTTTTTAATGAACTGTTACAGAAAGCATCATTAAAAGCACCTCTAGTTGTGAGTACATAGAACAGGATCTTAAACCTTGGAGCAATCCTTGGTCTCTTAGGGCCCAACCTCTGATTTCCTTTGATTTTGTCTTGTATATAATCTGATTTGGCTGTGACACTGATCAAATATTACCTCCTTCTTTCCATTGCAGAGCTGGAGAACCAGGAGTCTCGAGTCTCTGAAATCCATAGCCTCGTTCATCGGCTCCCAGAGAAAAATAGGCAGATGTTACAGCTGCTCATGAACCACTTGGCAAAGTAGGTTTGAGACCAAATGCTGGCCTTTTATTCCCCCCTAGAAAGTTCACGTCTCAGCACTATAGCTGGTCTCAACGCTGCTTATGTTCCCCTCTCCCACTGTCTCATCGGGTATGTCAGAGGCTTAGGAAAGAAATGTGTGAAATGTTAACTGCAGTGGATGACAGCCCCAAATGCCGGGTGATCTTTGCAGGGAGACCAGGGAAGTGCCCTTGATACCAGCCCACCAGGCTGAGTTTTCAGGGGGCTTTTGCTCTTGTGATGCTCAAGGGCAAACAGGAATACTTCATCTGTGATAACTAGGTCACAAGCAGAGTTTTCAAGAGTTAGATGTCCTTGGGATGATCAAAGACAAATAGGAATATGTTGTGGGTTTACAGACCTGGGACTTGGAGTACAAAGGCCTGGGCTCTAGAGTCGACTATAACAAGCCACTTAATGAGCCCTGGACAAGCCACAGAACCTCTCAGTTCCTTAGTTTCTTCATCTATTGGATGCATGGGTGGTAGGCTCTCCTTTATCGACAATGTCATTGATTTAAAAAGTAACATGTATTAAAGCCTAGAGAATAAAGGAACTTGGCAAATGCCCACTTGTCCTCTGAGATAATCAAAGCATTCCTGCTAAGGGGCCTGATTTTCCTCCTAAGAATATTTACTCTTGGAATGGTTTTGAATTTGTGTATTTGCTACTGCATGACCCTTTTAGGAATGGCCTTCCTGACTCCCCGGGCTGTGTCGGTGACTACATCTATGTGTGGTCTCACCTCCCATTGACTTCGATGAATGTTCTTGGAGACTGGAGTATTCAAAACGACAGAGTGTAACATCTACCATAAACCATTAAGTCATACATTCTCCCAAAGTGATGGACTTGGTATATGTCCGGCCCTTTCCCGCACTGTCTTCATGCCATTAAGTCATTTCTTTGGGCTAAGTTGATAGTGAGCTGAGGAAGACTATGACGGTTTGTTTTCATATTTCTACCAGGCATTGATCCTACCTTTTGGAGAGAGAGTGTATGTGTTACCATAAAGATTTCCACAGATCTTCAGTATGAAGAAACAAGTTTGTTTAGCATGTTGGTCAGAAGCAGTTAGGCAGCGACCAGAATTGCTCCATTATTGGTCACGTGTTTTTCTTGCTGTGCCATATTGGAACTGCATATTCAGAAAATTAAACGTAGCAGAGAACATGCAAGCTTACAAAGAGAATGTGCAAGAAATGTCAAAGATTCTCATGAAGTGTATTTAAAATAATGGGAAAGGGGCTTTCAAAAGTAACTCCACGTGCTCAGGTGACGGTTTGGTGCCTGTTGCCCACAGCCCAGTCAGGCATGTGTTAAATGGAAAAGCCGGTTTAGATCTTAATTGCAAAACTTTGCACACTTGAAGGGCGTTTTGTGAAATAGGAAATTCTGGAAAAATGCTCCAGCCGTGTGTGTGTGTGTGTGTGTGTGTGTGTGTGTGTTGGGGGTGGGGGGGGGATTTTCCTCATGGCTGCCAGATGGCCTCTAGGTTCTGAGCCGCCTGGGAGCCACTGGAGGAGAAGGCTTGGCAGCCAGCCAACAGCGGTGGGCTTCTCAGGCTGTGGAGTTATGATGAGAGCTTCAGTGGGCAGAGTATGACTGCGAGTGAGTGGTGATCCAGCAGAGCCAGTACTGGATTTGCCCTGAGGACTGAGCCTCTTTACCTCCTAAGGGCTGCTTTGCTTTCTCCCTCTTGTTCAAATCAGTGCTCCCAACCGCATTAGATTCACTTCATCTTTGTCCCTGACCTAACGAGGAATACAATTGGAATATGGAAGTGACAGCGCGGCCTTGACTTTTTGTCTCCTAATGAAGTTAAGCCAACTTTGTTTCTGGAGTTAGTTATAGTAGAGCATTTATGAAGCCTTATGTCTTGTCTTTGATACGTCACAATGATTTTCTTTGGTTCGATGAGGTTATGTGGCTTTTCTTTTGTTCGTTTAATCATGAAAAGAAATCTACATAGAGGCTGTAGAGTGAGTCAGAGCTGCTGTTATAACACACAGACTCCAGTTCTCAGCAGGCCGTGTTCTTGGTCTCAGAAGATGGGGATTTCAAGTGTCATGGAGGAGATGGGAATAAACGAGCATTGCTGAATCCAGCAAGGAGTATTTATTTAGTTCTGAAAAAATGCTCTGGCACCCAGAGGAGTTCTCAGATTCCACTGAAATGCCGTATGCTCATTTACAGCACTGTCCTCTTTTAAAATTGACCAGGAAAGGCAAGTTAACTTGGAATAAGGGGTTTGTCTGTTTGATTCCAGTTTTCTCAGTTTCAAAGTTAGCTTCGGATATGCCTCATCTGTTGTTCCTCTGGTCCACTTACTGAACAGTCAGCTTCCTTCCTAAGTTTTGGTTTCAGGGCTAGATCTGCTGGAAAACTTGTGTTCACTTCTCTCCTTACCTACTGTGTTTTCCCTGTGCCTCTCAGAAGTCTGATTCAAAGGGAAGACATTTTGTATTGTGTATTTTTTTAGAGCGCTTTTTTGAAATACTTTCCCAAATTGATTTATTTTAGCTGTGGAGGGAGAGTTAAGACATTTTATATTTAATCCCGAGAAGAAATGTGTCCAGCAGGGAAAAAAGTCTTAAAGGAGGATATGGTTACAAACTCAAAAGCCTTCAAGCAAATAATTACCAGGGAGCCTCCAAATCATAGAGCTCTTGGGTTGGTTTCAGACCTCAGAGGGAACATAAAAATTATAGGCAACTATGCACATATTTTTGTTGTTCCAGCTTAAACCTACTATGATAATTAGGAGTTTTCTTTTTGGATCCTGGAATCTGGTATACAGTCTGGAGTCATGTACCTAGTCACTTGCCCTCAGGGCACAGTTAGACTCACCTGGGGTGTTTGTTTACACTTGACATTGGGGGACCACACCCCTGCTCTACTAATTTGGACTCTGGGATTCTGCGTATCTGGTTCATTTCCCAGATAATTACGATGTAAACAGTCTTTTGAGAACCACTGGCCTAGAGAATGGGCCACATGCAGGGGTTTTCTAGGAGAGAGAAATGGCGTTGAGTGAAACGGATTAGGATTTAGGAAGGCATTAGAAATAGGACAGGGGCACCTGTGTGGTTAAGCCTCTGACTTAGGCTCAGGCCACAATCTCACGGTTTGTGGGTTCAAGCCTTGCGACAGGCTCTTTGCTGACAACTTGGGCCTGCTTCGGAGTCTGTCTCTCTCTCTCTCCCTGAGAAATAAAATAACCACTGAAAAAAATTTTTAAAGAAAAAAGAAATAGGACATGGAACCTCCAATAAGTGAGTTCACAAAGGAGATTTTCATAATGAAATTACTAAAAAAAAAAAAACAAAAAAAAAACGGTTTTGATTTCCAGTATCCTTACACTTTGACACTGCATTACATTGAGTTTCAGCAAATGACTTTGTTTTAAAATCTTGCATAAAGCGTTTTTAATAATAGAGACTAAGCTAGCTATGGGACCTGGTGGAAATGAATGATTCAACCCATTGAGCCTCAGTTTTCTGAGTTCCCTTCTAATCATGTGATTCTGTGTCTTCATCAGGTAGAAGGAGTGGAAAAGAGAAAAAAAAATTCGAGTATTATAATTGTACAAGGAAATAGGAGTAGAAGAATAATAAAGACAAATTTCATGGTAGTTTCCTAATGTTTATATAGTATGATGATTCCAAGTATGTTGTATATCCCCACACATACCATTCATTGTGGCTCATCGTCATTTTATTACAGTGTTTATGCAGCATTGAGAGGATTTCAAAGGACTCTCCATACATCAGGAGTGGCTATGAAAAATACCTTTTCCCAAAAACACTTACTGAGAAGTCCATCTCAGTCACTTCTTTTTTGAAGCAACTATTCCTTTGTTGCTAGGATGTTGTCAAAAGGGTAGAGCCTTTTCTTCCTCCTCCAAAGAGGTATTGTATCATGTAGTATATCCTGGGATGTAAGAGACAAAACCCAGTTCAAAATGGCTTAAACAGTAAAGGAATCTGTTACTTGTTGCACAAAATCAGTCCTAAGGGTTGGTTAATTTCTTGGCTCATGAAGTACTCAGGTATTCCTATGGTCTTGCCCTCAGCCAGCCTTATTGTGTTGGCGAGGTCGAGGTCATAAGATGTTGTGTTGCACCCGTGCACATCTGTGGTTGTTCTGAAGCAGAAACTTCATTACTTATTCTTTGCTTCTGTTTTTAAGAGTGATGATATTTTCCCCAGAAGTTCTCCAGCGACTTCTCATCACATCTCATTGGTTTGAAGCAGTCTCCAACAAGGGGAATGGGGCCACCATGATTTTTTTTTATACCAAATGGACTAACTTGGGCCATGTGTGGAAGGCCTGGATATCAGTATAAGAGCAGAGTTCTGAGTAGGCCATCCATATTGCTTACTGTAAAAAGTCTTGATAAAATAACATTTGCGGTGCCTGAGTGGCTCAGTCAGTTGAGTGTCTGACTCTTGATTTTGACTGAGGTTATGATCCCAGGGTTGTAGGATCAGGCCGTGAGTTGGGCTCCATGCGGGGTGTGCAGCCTACTTGGCATATTCTCTCTCCCTCTTCCCCATCTGCCCATCTCCTCTGCTCACTCTCTGTCTCTAAAATAAATAAATAAATAAATAAATAAATAAATAAATAAATAAATAAATCCACTTAACAAAGAGCATTAAATCTATTGAAGAATCTTCATATGGTGTGCTAACTCGATTTAGACAGATGGGACCCAGGCCAATTTGGGAAGGAGATAAATACATCTGCAGTGTGGGCACACATACACTAAAATTCTTAGATTTGGGGGGTAGAAGGTGAGAGAGAGAGAGGAAGGCAAAATCAACTTGAGTCTCATTGTCAGTTGCTGATTTCTATTGTTCTCGTCATTACCCAATTGTCTGATGTTTATTTGAATGATATGTTACTTGTGGCTTTGAAAAAAAAAACGACAAAATTCTGTAAATTGCAGAAATCATGACAGAATATTGTGGGACAAA